CTAAAGCCCTTCATCAGACAAAAACAGGAAATAAGGCTAAACTACACATTCTCAGGCTATATAATTTTAGTTATGTACAACTATGATGCATACACTAAGAAACTACAGTAATGATGTCAATTACATACAAGAAATAATCCTACGCTATTAGGCATCACATATCAGAAAATTCTATCATGCAATTCCCGAAGATCCCTAGCCTACCACTAGCATGTTGTTCTAACATAAACATAGTATCAAATAACAGTGTGGGTAACTTGGTGTATACTTTCCTGCTCCGGCTGATCGTACACATCACATCCTTCCTTATTTACTTTTGAAAACAATTTTTTGAAAACCATTTTAAAACTTTTGCAGTTCCCTAGTTTGAGTTTGGATTTACCTGAATGTTCATCCAATTCTCTCAAACCAAGGCTCTGGTACAAAATTGTAACATCCCACGAATCATAAAATATTAAAATTTTCAAAAACAACCATTATCCATAATTGTTCACAAAAAGAGTCATTGTTTCAAAAGCATTATTCAAAATCGGAGCTTTCCCCAAGATCCAGTGACATAAAACAAGAAGATGTACACGATCATGTCTTCCCCTTCCCACGATCCTCAGAAGTACCTAAAACAATAAACCGAAACTATAAGCCAAAGCTTAGTGAGTTCCCCTTAAGTACCATCACACAACATATAAAATACACATATTAGCATGGTAGGTCCACAACCTCCCGGTTGGATTACCCTGGCCCACAACCTACCGTTTGGATTGCCATGCATATCGTATACTGGGTCCACAACCTCCCACTTGTATTACCCTTGGCCCACAACCTCCCAGTTGGAATGCCCCGGTTTGTTAACTGACAGCACAAAGTAGTAGTCTCAACCCTAATGTAACATGTCGAAAAATAACAGATAATATACATATTCAGTAGACATATAATTATACAACCAGTAATCACAAGTAGTCCTACAGATCTACCAGTCTAACACATATCAAGAACTATCAGATAATCAAACAAGTTTATTGCATGCTCAACATATCATAACTCAGTATCTAACAGGATATCAATCCATTAGGCCAACCTTGGTGCCTTTGACCCGTAAGTACAATAAGGAAAACTCACATCTAATAGAAGATAGCTGAATCAACACTCGATCTGCTGTGAACATTGCTCCTCACACTAAACATAACTCAGAAACGACCACAATCGATAACTAAGGTTTTATCCCATACCAATGATCCACACATCCTTCAACATATTAAGGGCAAAAGACCATTTTTCCCCTTTCCATATAAGATCAATTAATCCAAGCCCAAAACCCTAAATGGCCCAAGGCACAAAATCGATCCAATGGGCTTCTAAGAGAACACCTGGCGTCCACTCAATGACGTATGGCGTCCGAATCCCAACGTTCTAACCCAAACGCCTTGCATAACCACGAAATCCCAAATCCTAAACCAAGGTCCTAATGGCTTAGGACCTAACGTTCAAACTTCAGATCCAAAGCTAAAAGAACGTCTAAAGTCATAAACTTGCAACCTTTATGACTTTGCATGGATACAAAGAGCCCAACACCAAAATCTAACTTAAATCACACTCTAAAGTTCCAAAACGCTTGCATTGAAGGGTATCAACGTCGAATCTTGCATTTTTATGATTCTAAACCCTCCAAAACGCTTGAAAGGACAGCCCAAACCTCTGGAGCATTTTTAACTCACAACATTCAAGTTCTTGGGATCAAAAGTACATAAAACTACACTTAAGCAAGATCTAATAAAGAAGTCATCAAGATCTAAACTTTATACCTCCAAAAGGTGCTCCAAGATGCCAAGAGTCCAGATCCAAAGGCTAGAGAGCAAAACCAACACTCCAAAGATCTTCCTTCTCCACCAAGAACACTAAAATGATACCAAAATGTTACTCCAAGGCTTCAAACAATCACACACACTTAGGGTTTCGAAATGAGGGCTATAAGTGACGGAGGCTGGAGATAAGAAACGTTTTGAGGCTATAATTTCCTTTAAATAGGGTGCAAACCCTACAAATTAGGGTTTATCCTATGCGTGCGAACGCTTAGCGTCCACAACCTTACGCCTGGCGTTCCAACGACCAGCGTTCCATTCCTAACGCTTAGCGTTTGGGACCAAAATGTAAAGTTAATACAAAGCAAGGCCAACAATGCAAATACCTGAAAACTGGCGTTACACCCCTATAGAGATACTTGCGGGAGAAATTGTGAGTTGTGTTCTGTTAGTGGGTTGGCCATGGATGGAGGTGGTGGTTGGGTCGTACTGTTGGCAGGAAATCGATGTGTTATAGTTTTTTTAACCCTAATTTCATCTTTTTCAGATTTCAAAGTGTTAATACTCTTTTTTCCATGGGGCTGTGAATTCATGATTTCCTTTTAAGAAGTTGATGTTCTATTTGTTATTCCTTCATTTTTGTTTTTATATGCTGCAAATATGAATTAAGTTGCACATTATGTGCATCTTTATTTTTTAGTAATCTGGTGAATCTATGGACTATGCAATAGCCAAAGCAGATGAACTTGAACCTAACTAGAATGTGGTTTATAACTTTATTTTGAGCTTAACTGTTGTAATCTGTGAGCATTCATTATGCCCACCAACTGTTTGATGTAATTACTGAACCAAGAGTAGAACAAATTATCTCTACCAATGTTATTATTTTTTTACTATAATGTTATCACTTAGTGATCGATTAACAGAAATATTGGCAAACTATCTTTATGTGTCTACACAACAAGTTAGTCTATTTGGTGGTTATGTTTGATTAAGATGAATATATAATGTTTTCCAAGGTACAAATAACACCGAATTTTAGGCTTGTTTCAAATTGCTATTAGAGTACTAGTCATAATCGTAAGCATTTCAAGCCTATATAGGTTCTACTCAGTTGGATTCTGGATTCTGACCTTCCGACGTGTTATCAACCGAGACGAAATTAGATAAAATCACAACATTACAGATTCCCATGGTAAAAATGGATTAATTCTATTTTTGTTTTGTTATATACTTATTAAGTTTTATACTTTTTTGTGTTACTTTTTCTTATGAGATCCTTTGTCATAAAAAACCTTTTTCTTATGAGATCCTTTGTCAAATAGGGGAAAGGGATTCAGATGGAATGAAATGTGAGCCTCGTTGCCTTTAGATATCTTATGAAGCATATATTGGCTATGTCTTCTAATGGTCATTTGCAACTTGTAGGCGTGTTTTTTGTAGACGCCTTTCATCTAAGAGGATAAATTATATATGTGGAAGGCCTCGTCGGACATGTGTTATGGGATTTTCTGCTGGTATGGATATTGCTAATTCCTTTTTTTAAGGTGAAATTTTTCAGATTTTTAAAGCTAATTTAGTATTTTAACCATTTTGTCCTTTCATAGTAAGTTTCATTCTTTGGTTTGTTTCATTCTGGAGTAATGAAATTTATTTGATTTACCTAATGAACATTATTTAAAACCTGCAAATATTCTTTCAGAATGGCAAAGACTTTAGAATAAGGTATGCCAATATTCTTTCAGAATAAGGAAGAACAATATTCTTTGGGTTCTCATACAAAATTCTTTTGTTATGACCATGCGGAATGCATTATGTCATAATCACTAACATTTGTAAGGGTATTTAATCATAGTATTTGATAACTAGCAAAATGTATTCTGTCAGAATATACTCTATGTATTCTGTCAGAATGTATTATATGTAATCTGTCATATTCTATGTATTCTGTCGGATTATAAAGTGATAGGAATTGCAAGTAACATGTTTTTAACCATTCTTAGTTTTTGTTATATTTGTGATAGGAATGGCTGGAAGAATGGGTTGAAGATCTGATAGGAATAACTTGAAAAATGAATAAACGATCGATCACACTTACAGTTTAAGAATGTTATTACTTTTTAAGAATTTTATTCATTTTTGCTGATATTCTTTTAGAAATTTAAGTTCGAATGTATAAGAGGGGATTTAAGATTTCTGTTATTCTTCAATAATATTCTAATATAAATAAAATTCTGAAAGAACATCATTCTAACAAAAAAAACATTCTGACGAAATAAAATTGGTTATGTCTACAAATTACGTTAGAATTAAAATTGAATTAATTTAAAAAATTCAGATTTTTAAAATTAGAAGTAATTATCCCTAAAAATCTGAAAATTTCTTTTTTTAAATATAGTTAACTGTCCAAAATACTCTTATGCTGAAATTTGTGTAATTATATGGTACATGTTATCTTATTGTAATATAATAAACTCTCAGATCATTATCATTGATTATATTTCATCCGGGGGTCCAGATTTGTGTTTACGAGCACATAATAGATGGTAGGAACACATGAACCTAGCCGCAAATAGATAAAAAGAAAATTATTTCTTTTTTGACTAACCGTTCAAACGATAAAGCGACGTTGCTACCCGTTCTTGTCGTAACGTGTCTCATCATAACATCTGGTGGGGGAGGTGTTTATACGTGGTAAAAGCGTTACGCCGTGTCCACCTTGGCAATAACGATCATTAACGGCCCCATACCAAACAGTTTTAATATTTAGAAGATTTAAAAGATTTTAGAACAAGACAAACCGGCTTTTGCTTTTATTAAATCCGGTTAATTCATTAAATATTTTAAAGATTTTATTCGCAGAACAAAAATCCATGATGGCTGTCATCTACGTGTCCAGTCAGTGGTCCTCCACGTCAACACCAGCCAAAAACAACAGGATCATATTGATCATACGTAAAACTTAAAAGATCGGGCTCCACCTAAATTACTGCAAATGGAAGTTACTGTTACACAAACCTTATACACACGTGCCAATAAGTCAATAAGCACCCTTTGTAGCTCAAAAAACAAAAACGCTTGTTTCGTCGTTTGTTTTTGTTTTCTCAGAAGGCCTACGTGGCAGACTATTCTCTCTTCTATTCCTCCACGTGTCACCTCAACTTCTATCTTTAACAATCTTTCAAGGGTTTTTTTTCGTAATTTCACCAACCTCATCACATTAAAAATCTCCCCACTTTCTTCTCCCCTTCCGCACCTATACTTTATCTCTCCGTAAAACAATCTCTCTCTCTCTCACACAGCCGGCGGAGCAAAATCCGGCAAGATTTTCCCCGGAAAATCTTCTTGATCTTTCTTGATATTCTGTGGATTTATAGAGATATCTTTTGTTTTTCACCGAATCGATTCAAAATAAAAGTTTTTTTGAATTTTAAAATAAAATCGCCATTGATGCTTGAAAAATTACGCCGGGGACTTCATAAAGAGAAGCAAATTGATATTCTATAACGGTCGGATGGATTTCTTGAAAACAATTGAATGCGCCGGTGGTGGCGGTGGCGATGGCGGTGGTGGTGGTGGCGGAGGCGGGGTTACCCATTCTTTGAAAGAGGAGACGCTCGGTGAAGAAAACGTAGAGCTGAGTTTAGGTTTATCGTTGAACGGCCGATTTGGGGTGGAACGACGGAGAGTGGTGGCCAATGGTTATTACGACAACAATAACAGATTAATCCGTGCTTCCTCCGTAGCAGATTTCTCGAGTTTTCCGTCGGCAATGGAAGATCCGACCGCATTGACGGTGTATCCGCCGTTAACAAGGACGTGTTCGCTGCCGATCGAGACGGGGGATGAGTGGAAGAAGAGGCAGGAACTGCAGTCGTTACGGCGGTCGGAGGCGAAGAGGAAGCGTGGTGAAAAGCTTAAGAATGGGAAAGTTGTGAAAGGGTTGTTGACGTCGGAGGAGAATTACGATGCAAAAAGAAGAAATGTAATGAAGGGAAACGATCAGTCATGGCAACCACCACCGCCGTCACTGTTACCTCCGCTGCCACGGCCGTCGCCGTTTCCGTCGCAGGTGTCCATCGGCTCTCCTGCTAGCGGCGGATCTTCTGGTGTTTCTGAGTTGGAAAGTCAACCTTTTTCAGGTATATTACTTTTATTTGTTTCGATCCATGATATTTATTTTGATTATATTATTATATGATAATTACCACAATTAATGTTAATATAGGAAAAAAAAAAGTGTAGAATTAAATTAAATACAATAAAATAGCAAACCTTGTTTTGAGATATTAGTTTTTATTCTCATTGCAAGATTATATTCAATTATCTCGATTTTACTAAGATATAGAGTATATTTTTGTGGTCATAATTAAGTAGATTTACAAGAGCCATCTATTATTGGTGTTTTTTTGAATAAAAAAAGATCAAATAAGTTATTAGGGGTGTCTTTATTTTCAATAACTTGTTAAAAATGGTCCTGCAGTTACAAAATTTCAGTATGAGCTTTTTCATTGTTTTATTAGTTTTTATTATTTTTAGTTTGTTAAGTACAGTAACTACAACTAATACTTTGTTAGTGAAACCTACAAATAAGTGTAATGAAAAAAAAAAAAAAAAACTCTACTATAGTAAATGGGTATTCAGGTTTGTACTTTGTAGGTTGTTAAGTTGGCAATCATGATCATGTGGCATATGAAGGTTAGTGGGAAAAAAATATAAATTACTATTATGGATGGTCTAATCCTTAAATAAACAAAATGAAAGGGCAATGCTATAATTGCATGAATTGCTTGATAATATTATCTTAATAAAAAAACTGAAACTATTAAGCATAAATAAATGGAAGTACGATTTTGTAATAAGTAAATAAATAAAGAAAGTGATTTCTTGCATTTAGCCTTTAAAAACTAATGGATAATTATTTTGTAACAAATTGAAATTGCTTATACTTAACTTTTGTATATTTTAGGAAATACAATGTTGATTTGCAACGATATTATGTGCGTGTAGATTAATGGGAGCTCATATTTAATGTGTTTCTATTTTATTTCATATGCTTTAGAAATTAATCCATATGATCTTTGTATAACTCACTACAATATTTGATTAAATGATAGGAATAAATAAAGATGGTGAGTTGAAGAGCACAGCTAGTCAACATTCCATTTTGCATAAGATACCAAGTTCGACCCCTTATAGATCAAACTCTGTTGTTTCAGACAAGTCCACGGATGAAACCCTAAAGATGATGTTTGCGGATATGCCTTGCGTTTCCACAAAAGGAGAGGGTGTTAATGGCAAGAAGATCGAAGGGTTTTTGTATAGATATAGAAAAGGAGAACAAGTAAGAATCGTTTGTGTTTGTCATGGTAACTTTCTAACTCCAGCAGAGTTTGTGAAACATGGTGGTGGTGGTGACGTGGAACATCCTCTCAGACACATTGTCGTTAACCCACCTTCTTTATAATATATGAACAATGGAAAAACCTTTGGAAACCTTCATGTCAGATTTTAGACAATCCTTTATGGGCCAAGTAAAATGCTAAATAAAGTTTTGTTGTCTTCATATAGACATAGTAGAAAACAAATGTACATTTGTTGTCGTCTTTTTAATATATTAGCTAGTGAAACTTTTGAGGTTTATTTGTTAATGTTTCCTTGTTTGGGAGGTCAATGTAGTTCTAAGCTAAGGTCATAAATTATAAGTTAAGTCATAACTCATTGAAGAATCTCCGTACTTATATCAAGCACATGTCACAAAAACATCCACAAGATACAATGTTTTAAAAACCGGTTTGAACCGGCCGGTCGAACCGGTTGGACCGGGAACCGGCAAAGGGAGTGGTTTAACTAATACCGGTTTTATGTCTATTTCTGAATCGGAACGAACCGGCCGGGTTTTACAAAAACCCGGTTGAACCGGTTAAAATTTAACCGGTTGAACCGGTTAAATTGAATAAAAACACATTGATTAATGTAAAACTTATGGTTATGTGTTTTTTTAATGTATTTGAATTGATTTACAAGTAGTTTTATGTGTATTTTTTATGTTTAAATTTATGGACGTCAAATTCTTGATTTATGTATGTATGTATGTAGTATGTATGTGTGTAGGAAAATAGGAAACAATATGAAAATTATAGTAACCGGTTCATCCGGCGGTCGAACCGGAAACCGGTCACCATACCGGTTCAACTAAAAAAACCGGTTTTTGAAACATTGGCAAGAAGATATTTTTGGAATTCGACTTCAAAACTTCTATTGGTATTGACCCCAATTTTGTCAAACTCGTAGCTTATATTGCAAAGCATGAGAAATTACAAGCTCGGGTATAAATAAGATCAAAATAGATATAAAACATTACTAAGAATATAATAATTTTATAGAAATAAAGTAAAAGGTAATTTTATAAATATATAATACCAAAAATTGAAAAGAAAAATTATAATTTAATTTGATACATTTTTTTTTTGGAAAAGAACTTTGTTAACGAGAGTTTTCGGGTCAGTTTTCGTGCATCGACTAATCTTTCACTGCAAACATAAGGCTATGGCTCATGTCCTGGAGTCACAGCAGACGAACGTCCATAGACACATGAGCTGAGTAGTGTCAGGATTTGAACATAAGTCAATAGACTATTCATCATATCTTTCAAATGTCATACAAAGTCACCACAACCCAAGTTGTTAATTTGATACATATTTGTTTATAAATATATTATATATTTTATATAAAGTATCATAAAGTTCAAAATATTGTGCTTAATATATAATTATATATTTTAATAAAAAAATTTGTTGTAATTAATTATAAAATATTAAGTGTAACAGTCATATTTTGGAGTTAGATTTTTAATTAATTATCACCAAATTTATTAAGATATAGAGCATTTGTGTGGTTGTAAGGTCATACAAAATGGAAGTTAGTATGGGCACGTACTGCTGGAAGCACAGGACCCATACGCGTAGCAAGGAAGTCACGAACCCCGTGGCTTTAGCAATTCCCGTAATGTTGTAATGGTATGAATTATGTGTTTTCTGATGTATTCTTGCTTGTTTTTCTGGTGATCACTAGAGGTTCTGGATCGGGAGTTGGAGGCCTAGAGAGGCTAGGGTTGACGGACGATGATATCCGTGAGATGATCACCACCCCAAGTGATCGTGGATATATGTGAGGCGACCCCGGAGTTCTTTGGTTCTATTAAGACCACCGTGATCGAGATGTTTTGACGGGCGTTATGATGTCGTCTCCAAGGCACTTGTTGTCGCAGCCACTGTAACTATTGTTGTTGCGGGACTCCAGGGGAGAAGGTCATTTCAGTACCAGGATTTCAGCAACACGAACCCCGGGAGTTTGACAGGGTCAAGGACCCGATCATTGCTATGAGATGGTTATCAGAAATGGAGGGTTGTTTCTTCACTTGCTCGTGCCCGGAGGACTAGAAGGTCAGGTATGTCCTGAACCTTCTTCTCTTGGGGTCGAAGCACTGGTGGAAGCTAGTGACTGGTACCTATTCTCCTGCGGAGAAAGCCGCGGTGACTTCAAAGCAGTTTTTAGAGATGTTCCATACTAAGTATGTGCCGCTGGTGGAGAGGGAGAGATTAGCCTAAGAGTATCTGTCGCTGAAGTAGACGACAGAGTCGGTGACGGAGATCACCAAAATGTTTACAGAGAGTTCCCTTTTTCCACCCCGAGTATGCTGCTTCGGAGCAAGTTCAGATGTCCCATTACTTGAGCATGCTTAAGACGAAGATCACCGATTTTGTGTCAACCCGACGGTAAAGTTCTCGCTCTGAGCTGCAGTCTTTCGCTCGGGGGAGAGAGATTAAGATTGAGACCCAGACGAGGAAGAGGAGGTAGGCTCCAGGTCAGACATAACCAGCAACGAAGCGGTTCAAACCCTCTGATTCACGATCTGGAGGTCAGAGGGGCTGCACTTATGGCAAGTACGGGAAGGCGGATGAGGGCACATGTCGATCAGCTGCTGGGTGCCACAAATATGGAAAGGAAGGGCATTTTGCGAGAGATTGTCGTCAGTAGGCCACGCCATAGAGTACAAGGATTTGTTACTATTGTGATCAGGTGGGCCATGTGAAGGCCCAGTGTCCTTTGCTTGCTGCTAGGCCCGTGCAGGCACCAACCCCGCCTATTTTCAGGATTAAGGATAGACTCCAGGGGAGAGCTGAGGCCCCGAAGGCCAGAGGTTGTGCTTTTCAGTTCACAGCATAGGAGGCCAGGGCGGCGCCTGACGTCATTACTGGTATGTTTCCATTTATTATTTTGTCAAGTTATTTTCTTATATGCTTATGATTGTATTTCTGCTAGGTACCTTCTTAGTGAATTCCTTGCTTTTTCTTGTGTTTTTCGACTCGTGTGTGATTTGGTATTTTGTGTCTCTGTCCTTCAGCAGGGATTTCGATATGAATCTTGGGGAGTTGAGTATCTGTTGCGAGTTTCCATCGCCAACAAACACGGGGTTTATACAGTGAGCGTTTTAAAATATTGTACCTTGGAGATATTTGGGGTGTCTTATATGATCGATTTGATTCCCATCCTTCTGGGGGATTTGTGCATGATTGTAGGGATTGATTGGTTGATCAGTTTTAGGCCATGATCAACTGCGAGAGACACTAGGTGGTAGTTCGAACCCCAAGTAGGGGAGAACTAGTTATTTATGGCGATGGTACCAATGTTGGTTCGACCTTTTGTTCAGCTGCTAGGGCCCGACGGTATCTTCATCATGGATTTTTGGGTTATCTCGCTTATGTGGTTGACACCCGAGTTGAGGAAAGAGTTTCAGTTTCTGAGGTGTCTGTGGTTAGGGAGTTTCCAGATGTATTCCCAGCCCGGTTTGCCTCCCGAAAGGCAGGTCGAGTTTAGAATCAATCTGATGCTTGGTGCAGCACCGATTGCTAAGGCACCATATTTCCTCGCACTACCTGAGATGCAAGAGTTCTCCACTCAGCTTCAGGAGATATTGGGCAAGCAATTTATCCGGCCGAGCAGTTCACCCTAGGGAGCACCGATTCTATTCGTGAATAAGAAGGATGGGTCTCATCATATGTGCATAGACTACCGGGAGTTGAAAAAGTTAACAATGAAAAATCGCTACCCATTGCCTAGGATTGATGATCTCTTTGATCAGCTGCAGGGCACATCTTGGTTCTCCAAGATTGATCTGAGATCGAGTTACTGTTGATGTATGAAGTCTTTTCCAACATGGAGCACTTAGAATCAAGCGGAGCACTTGGATGGAGAATTTTGAGTTTATTTGGAGCACTTAGAACTAAATGGAGCATTTAGGTTTATTGAGCATGTGACTAAGGAACGGATCATCTGAAATGGCTTTGGATCATCTGACAAATGAACAGATCAAGTGCCAAAGGAACAGATCTTCCAAAAGGAGGTTTGGAGCAACTTGGAGTGGTTTGGAGCAACTTGGAGTGGCTTGGAGCAACATGGAGTTACTTTGAGCACTTGGAGCAACATGGAGCAACTTGGTGCACTTGGAGCACTTGGAGCAACATGGAGCACTTGGAGTATGTAGCGCACGAGTTGCCAGGTATGAATTTATCGACTTATTCTTTTATTAATCAAGTTAAGGTGGTGGAGTGTTGGTGAGTACGTTGGGCGTACATAAGGTACGCACGGTGTACTCGATTCATGCGCACCATCGGGGGGATCCCCGGCGTACGTTGGGTGTACCCATGTGTATGTTGGGCATAACCAAGCCAGGGACAAACCCTAATTTTTAGGTTTTGCACTCTATTTAATGACCTTAAGTCCCCAACTCCCTTACCTTTTCAGCCTCCATTGCCCTTGTAGTGCAAATCTCGAACCCTAAATGTAACGCCCAGTTCCTGGTACGTATCTTAAATAAAGAATATTTGCATACTATACTGGGACTCGACGAGTTGGGGGCTCAACTCGTCGAGTAAGGGACGGATTTTGGACGCGGATGAAAGGGCCTACTCGCCGAGTTGGAAGCCCCGGCTCGACGAGTTGACCTATCTAAGTGAAACCCTAAATTTTAGGGTTTGCACTTTAAACGCACTAACTCGCCTCCCATGCAGCCCCTATCGTCTCCCTTAGTCCAGAATGCCCTAACTTGTGTCCCTTTAGCTTTGTTGAGTGTGTGAGCCATTTTTGAGAGTGTTTGTGTGATTTCAGAGCTAGAGGAAGAAGAAGAATGAGCTAGAAGGTTCAAGGAAGCAGTAGATCCAAGGTTCAAGCTACATTTCCAGCCCCTTAAAGGTATAAAGTTGCTTCCTTGACTTTCCTATTGCTAGATCTCCCCATATTTGAGTTTAGGGCCATCTTTAAGAAAATTTGTGAACCTTTTGAGTATGAAGTGTGATCTTGTAACTTCAGATCCAGATCCCTTTCAGCCCCTATAACCATAAAGTTTACGAAATTATCATGTTTTAGCCCTTCCCTTTGGCCTAGACTTCATTTTACACTTGGAAA